AAGCGAAGCCGTTGTTGCACATACCATAGAGTAGAAAGTCCTTGCGTCCGGCCGCAGGCCGCCTATTAAGAGAATCTTTATTAAGCGATTAAACTGAAATGTATTAAACTTTGAAGCCCCACTCGAAAGTAGGGAGTTATTTCGTAGGGAGTCATTTTATGACGCCATTATTATCATGCAAAAGTGATTATTTTAAATTAATCACTGTGACTTATAGCGCAAGTGCCGGTTCACACAAAGAAACTTTGGATTTTGTGTGTGGGAGAGAGAGATGGTTGATATTTCGTTCTCTTTTTCTCACACACAAAATCAAAAGTTTCCCAAAAAAAAGTTTACCTGTGTGAACCGGCAGAAAATATTTCACTGCACCACTTTAGTTTTAGTAGGTATGTAGGTTGATAGGAGGATGTATACTACATCAAATCCGAAGAAATACACCTAGGCCACTATCGGGCCTGTTGTGCGCTCCAATTCATGAAAAAAAAATTGTTCACTGAATGTATTATTTTTCCATGTTCAGAAACTCAGTCTCCTGGACGTAATTCCTAAGAATCTTCCAATCGGTGTTGGTTAAGAATGTTATTTCCGGAATAACATCACTTCCAAGATTCTTGGATCTCACTACGACGAATGCCTGATGGTGGCAGAAAAAATGCTCCAGAGTTTCACTGTCCTCTTCACATGCTCTACATTCGTCTGAATCCGCACTTTAAATTTTGTATAGATGTGCTCGTAATTCTGTGCATTCACTCAGAATACGTACAATCATACTAACTTCAGACTTGCTCATTTTGAGGAGATTTCTCGTCTTGTTCTCATCAGGTTCACCTCATAGGATCTTTGTGTTTCTACGCACCGTTTCATTATTCCAACAGGCCTTATGGGATTCTCTCATCCATATTTTTAATTCAGCTTTTGTTGCCGCGAATGGTTTCGCGTTTGTCAGGTGAACTGTCTCGAGCTCCCTACCCTTTAAAGCTATTACATTCGCCCTTTCGTTACCGACTATTCCCGATATGATGTGAGAGTATCTGGGAGAGTATTCAGTTAAAGCTTTCTTACAATCCAATACGGTCTTAGATTTAGTTCTATCTCCTAATATCGCCCTAATTGTCTTCTGGCTATCGGTAAATATATTAAGCGCTGTGGGCGCCATATTTATTCTAATTCAATTTACGCATTCCGTTATTGCTCGTACTTCTGCCTGGAAGCTTGTGTTATGATTTGGTAAACGGTGGTATATTTCTGGGTATTCAATGTAGAACCACAGCCCCATTTTGTCCCCCAATTTAGAGCCATCCCCGTAACAACGGATTTCTACTGGTATTTGCTCTAATGTTCCGCTTGACCAAGACATTCTATCTGGGATCAGCGTTTCAAAGTTTCCGACATATTCTGTGTCTGGTATACGATCAGGCACGTCCGATGATTGTGTATAACCTTCCAATGTGTCCAGTATACATTGATGACGTGTCCTATAACCGCTTTTGACCAGTTCGCCTAAAGTAAAGAGCCGTTCGGCTGTAAGCGCCGCCTCATATCTTAAATATGTTTCAATAACAAATTTAAATTTTAGATCTTTGTCGGGTATACTGCTTTTAACCATGCTATCGACTATCCGTTCCAAGGTTTTAAGTATGAAGGACGTAAGACTTATCGGTCGATAGGACTTAGGTGTCGCATAGCTAGGTTTCCCTGGTTTTGGTATAAATATTACCCTTGCATCCTGCCATTTAATTGGGGTATATGTCAATTTTAAGCATGCAGTGAATATCTGTGACAGATGTACGGAAACCAGTCCAGCCTCCATCTGCAAAAGTGCCGGGAAAATTCCATCCGGCCCTGCAGCTTTATAGGGAGCAAAGCTCTTGATTGCCCCTTTAACCATGTCAGATGTAATTACAATTTCCGTGTTAGCCTCCCCTTCCTCCAATATCGGTTCATCTATGTTATTCGATATACCGGGTGGGAAATGAGAGTCCATTAGGAGTTTCATTGTCTCCTCCATATCCTCCAGCCTCCTGCCCGTATCATCGACCATAGATTTCGGTTGGACATGAGTTTTGGATAGGAATTTTTTTATCTTCGATACTTCATTTACGCTATCTACCTGTTCACAGAAAAGTTTCCAGGAGTCTCGTTTGGCTTTATGAACAATTTTCTTATATTCACCAAGTTTTCTACGATACCCATCTCAGTATACTGCGGTCTTTTTACGTCGTGCCCGGTTAAATAGTTTGCGAAGAGTCTTACCAAGTTTCCGGATCTCCCCGGTTACCCAGGGTTTCTCTTGGGCAGATCTCCGCTCTCGCAGAGTGCAGCTGTCCTCGAACGATTCAACCAAGGCACTTGTGAGCATTTCTACTTTGGCGTCTATGTCTTCTTTATTTCGACATTGAAAAGTGTCCTGATATAAACGGTTCTTTAGTAAGGAACCGACCATTGCCCAATTAGTTTTAGACTTATTCCGAAACTTTATCGACTTTGGTGGCGGCCGTAGTATTTTTTTATATACCGATGGTCAGAAAAGGAGTGCTCGTCCGGAACTCTCCAATCCAGAATTTCGTTTATAAGCTCTTCTGAATCGAAAAGCAGGTAAACAGATGTAAGGTATATGTTGCCACGACCTTGCTTCAGCACCGTTTCATCCGATGTGGATAATCCTGTTGAGAGGAGAAAACATAAGTTCTTGTGACATAAGATACATGTTCTCGGTCGAGACCCTGTATCAGCGTAGAAAAGTTGGAAATTTACGTGATTTAATCCAGAAATCTCTTTGCGAATCGTCCAAGGCTGGATTAAAGCTATATGTATCTTACCTGTGTTAATTTTAGCCATCAGAGCGTTGGTAGCCGTCTCGCTCCGATGGAGGTTTATTTGTTTATTTATTTAAATTGTCTTCCAGCGAGTTAGTGATCACATCCCAGCTCGTTGGATTTGACTCCTCCGCGTAACCTGAAGTGGCTATTGATGCAGTAGGTACCATTGATGGCACTGCGGTGTCCTTATCAGGCATTGGAATAGCAGTCTTTTTGTCTGTCTTCTGGCGAGTGAGTGATTTCCTCCTCGCTTTTAGGATTTGACTCCTCAAAATTACCAGTACTTGCTAATGATGCTTTGGGTACCGTCTTAGGTGTTTTAGTGTCCTTATCGGGGCCGGTTTTGACATACCTTTCAATTGGCGCCTCCCCAATTTTGGAAAGGGCAGCTGCACCTTCTTTTGGCGAGTTAGTGGTATCTTCCTTGCTTTTAGGATTTGACTTCTTAGCGTTATCTGTAGTTGCTACTGATGCTGTGGTCTTAGGTATTTTTGTGTCCTTTTCGAGGCTTGTTGTAACAGCCCTTCCAATCGGCACCTTCCCAATTTTGAATATGACAGCTTTTGAGGCGAAGTAAGCCCTACTTTATTCATGGCAAGACTAGCCATAAATTTCTGGTCGATAATTACAAATAAAGTTCCCTCAGGTTCTTCTTTCCTGTAAAAGACATCCCATTTTTACACGGCCAGCTCAGCATTTTGACCACCAAGAATTTCCAGTATACGTTCATTAGCCAGTTTACTACCCCTTTTATGTAGACAGTGGACTTTAAGAGCACCGGATGCTCGCTCTTCTTTGTCAGTCCCAGCTTAGCGCCGTCCCAGGGAGGAGGGATATTTTCCACCAAGTTCTTTAGAGTGCTGACACATTGGTGAGATGCCAACCTCATCAACATCACGCTCATGCTGAACTCGCAGCTCACGCTCTCTATTGGTTGTTTGCCCTTTGAAGCGATTGCATGGTCCACTATCTTATTGTTCACCAGATCTTCTACCTTACTCTGTTGGTCTATTGGAATTTTGCCTGTCGGATTACCGGCATCGTAAACTGCATAACAGAGATCGTCCCGGTGTCTTCTTCTGGCAATTTTTGCGTAAGATGGCGGCTCTTTTCCTTTTCCACTGTCTAGCCTCTCTTTCCTCGCTTTTCGGGACTTCTTTTGAGATACCCGTACCTTCGAGATTGATTTCGCCGACGTGATCGTCTTCGGAATATCTATCTTGGCGTTGTCACCCTTACTCTCAGGATTCTAACTTGAGGTTCCTTTGAGTGAAGTATGGCTTGGCTTCGACTGTGTATTAGAAGACGGGGAGCTCTTTTTCTTCTTAGGTTTATTCTCAGTTGTCAACTCTTAGCTATGCTATCACTCACCTGTTTCACTATTCGCTCTACTTCATTCTTTTTGGGATTTGCTATAATGGTGTTGTTATTATCATCTGAGGATTCAGAGTCGGAACCCTCAACTATATTTAAAGGCTGAGGTAGCTTAGAGCTCTCTCCGAGTACATCCTTCTCCTTCACCCCTATATTTTTGCCAATGGCATGCTGTACACTTGACGCATTGTCAAAAAAGATTAGCAACAGTTTCTGTTTCAAAACTTCAATTTAAGTGTTGTTTAGAAAAGATAAGGATTTAAATATATTGTTTTGTTGGCCTGTAAGGACTTGTTTTCTTTGGCTGAAATAAATAAAATAAAAAGATATTCAGCTTTTTCTATGAAAACTGTCAAATTAACATTACTTTATTTAGTTCTTCAAATGAGACATGAAATATTGTTTATATTATTATTATTATTTTTTTTTTTAATTTTAAAAAATTAATGAAAATATTTTTTAAATTTAAAGAGTACATTTTTTGTTTTTTACTGCATATAAATGTCCGAATTCAGAAAGAAGAAATGAAAACAATTTTTAAAATTTTGTATAAAAACTACTCAGTTTTTGTTAGTGTTTTCCATACAAAATTTTAAATATTGATTTACATTCTTCTTTCTGAATACGGGCCTAAATAAGCATAAAACATTTTTTTAGAGTAGATTTTGGTTTCCCTTTTCATAACGCTAGTATGTATATGTATGTAGGACTTTATAGGTACAACCTAATATAACTTTTATTAATTTTAAGAAATGTCCATCTTTCTATTAAAAATTGTATTCTTTTCTTATTTTCAATGTTTTTTAGATCACATATAATAATGAAATGTTAATACCTAATGATCGACACATTTACGGATTTAACCAAGAAGACACAACAAGCAGTTCTAAGTTGGGAATGTCCCAAATTTCAGATAACTGTTTTGAGATTTGGATTCACGAAGAATGTGCTATTTGGTCGCCAAATATATTTGTGGTCGGTTCACGACTAGCTGGTTTGGAAGATGCCACGTGGAGCAGTATGCGATACCAATGCGCATACTGTTTAAAACAAGGTGCTCTACTTTGCTGTTTGCAACGTGATTGCAAAATTACATCACATATACCTTGTGCGCGTGAATTCAACTGGATCTTGGATGAATCAAGGTTTTGGACATATTGTAGTAAACATGTCATAAATAAATTTAACAACTAAAAATAAATGTAACTATCTAATAAAGATCTACTGATAACCCAAAATTCTTTTACAAAAGATTTTTAAGTTAAGAAGATAAATATAAACTACAGAGTTTAAAAGTACATATTGTCACTTGAAATGCAAAAGGGCTTAACAACCAAAAAAATGTTGACACTGATCGGAAATAATAAATGTAGCAAAATTTCAAAACTCTATTGTCAAAAATATCAATTTTATTTAAAAAAAATCAAAAACCTTAACAACAAGTTAGTTATTTCCTCAAGTATAAAGGTCTTAATAAGAACATATTAAAGAAATTCTTAGCAAACTGGGGAAATTTTGATAGCTCAATGAAAGTTGGAACAGGGCTTTGCCTTGGGGTCTCAATTATGGAGCTAAAAATTCCCATTAATCCCATGTACGCTATATTGGAAATCAAAGAATACAAAACACAGTTTTTACAAATACCTCGCTTATTACGAATCCTACGACTTCAGATGCTACTGCATTTCTGCAGACAATTGAGTTTCCTACATTTTAGTTGTTTTCGAGCTATAGTGCATTATTTGTCCACTGTACTATTATTTTGAAATCTTAATGTAGTTTGCACCGGTAACAACTTTGTCATAATTTTTACGTTCTTTATAAGCTGTTAAAATATGCTAATATGTTGTTATATATATGTCTCAGAATTGTGCTATGACTCATAGTGCAATGACTGTCTATCTATAATTTCAGATAGTGACTCAGGCAGGAATTTTTTCATTTATTTTATTTATTTATTTGCCTATGGAAATATTCCTTGCAGGCATATTAAGTTATAATACACGATATCAATTCAAATGAATTTACATTACATTACATCATTTTTTTTTTAAGAGAAACCGTGTTATTTTCATTGGAAAGGTGATAGAAGTGAGAGGAAATGTGGTGAAAGGAGAAGTAAAGCTAATTTTTTATTAATTTACAACTCTGTAATTGCGCGTTATGATTATATTTAGTACAGAGTTGCAGTGCCTCATGTGTTATGTAGGTGCCGGTTCACACAGGAAAACTTGTTTTGGGAAACTTTTGATTTTGTATATGAGAGAAACAGATATTTCCTTTTCTTTCTCTCATACACAAATATCAAAAGTTTCCAAAAAAAGTTTTCCTACCTTAATATTTATGTTCACTTGCGGAGGCTGGGGGTCGAACCCAGGCCGATAATGCAAAGTAATGCTTAGTAGTCAAACGCGCTAACCACTTAAGCTACAGCACCCTCAAAGATCAGATCAGTATCAGATTCTAAAATAGTAATGATAAGTTGATGTTCGTTATTTCCAAATCAAGGATTTTTATGCACTAAAAATGCAAAATATGCACTATAAAATAGGAAAATATACACTAAAAAAGTAAAAAATATGCACTAAAAATATTGTCTTGTGAAATTTAAATAACATTTTTGACCATTTGGTACCCTGCACCAATTAAGAATATATTTAAAATATGATTTAATTTAAAAATTAGCGCATTTATGTAGAATTTGCTTTTATTCTATATTTAAACAATTTTGGATGAAAAATTTATTATCCGAAAGAGTGTTTATATGTTTAGATGGTGTCAAAAATTTTCCTATCCTAATAAAATTAGTGAGAGGATGTATGTTTGTATAACCTCTATTTATTTCGAATTTTATCGCGTGGTGTGGTTTTAAGTGAATTATGGACGTTAAAGTCAATTTCTGAAGGATATTTTGTATGGGGTTTAGGGTTAGACAGATGTGTATGGAAGTCAATTAAAGTTATTTGTTTATAAGGACACACAGATGGACAGACTCAGAAAGTGATTCTAAGCCGATACTTTAAGGTGGGTATAGGATCAATATTTTTGGACGTTAAAAGTCATAGGCACAAACGCCCCACTATAGTAGTGTAGATTTTTAAAAATAAGTAGAACTATGTAAAAATTAATTTCATAGTTTTACAGATTTTTTTTTCTTAAGTAAATATCAAATATATTATATAAATATGTTATATTATATATATAAATATGTAATACAAAGAAATCAAAACACAATTTTTGCTAGAAAAATAAAAAATGCAAAATATGCAAGAAAATGCAAAATATGCAGGTTCCTTGGTTCAATATTTCATAGATTTTCAAACAATAATGACTGATTATTGTCAGTTGGAGAACGAAAATGTAACATAACATAGTCCCTAAATTTTCAACCAGAAGTTCCTCTCAGGAAGCTGCGTGTCCAGTTATATGTTTTTCAATATTATAGAAAATTCAAAAAGTGTTATTAGTACCAGAAATACTCTTTTTAAGCTATGTTCACACCTATCAAATATTCGTCGTTTTTATAAAATATAAATGTTGGCTGTAATGTGAACATAAAATATTTTGAAGAGCAAACAAAATATCAGCTGTTTTTCGCGAAACATTTTTATTTGTCAACCTACAAATATTTTCCCAATGTGAACACCAAACACGAAACATTTTTTTAACGTTAAAAAAATCTATTTAATTGAAATTACAATAGTTTTTTGAATTCATACAAATGTTTATTTTGTTTTTATTTTTTCCCTTACAACTGCATTTAGAATTGGAAAACAACCAGCCAAGTGTAGAAAGGAATGCAAGAAAAAATAAACTCACTGTTATTGTTGGTGTTTTGTCAAAACTTTAATGTTTTGTGAAAGATGCGTTTTGAATTCTTATTGAGTTTAAAATAATTCTTTAATAAGACATTTCTAGTTTTCCTAAAATATTGGGAAAGGAACTAGCGCATAGGAACTAGCTTCCCCACCATCAATACATTACAGTGAATTTAATTAAAAATTGGGGTTAAAAGCACGATAAGAAACTCTTTAACTTATTTGAAAAAATAATAAAAATCCCGAAATCAATTTTTTAAATATATTTTTTCTTTATAATGTGCTTAAAATGAGTATTTCTGTTTTGACGTTTTGTTGAAGAAACAAAGCCAAACACAATTCAACAACATTAACATCCATGTGAACATTTCAGTAATAAGCCATCCCCAATATGTAAAAAATGTATATCTGTAAAACTATTATATTTAGTTAGAATCTTCAAAATCGTAAAATGTTTTTTTATATACATTGATGTTAGTGTAGCAAAGCACACTGGGTATAGCTAGTTTTCTATATATAAATGAATGTGTGTTTATTTGTTTGTTTGAAGTCTATAGACTGCTAAACGACTGGACCGATTTTCATGAAATTTTCACAGTGTTTTCCTGTATGTCTGGAAGGAGGTATAGGCTACCTTTTATTTCAAAATGTCAAGTGGGCGAGGTGTCACGCCCACATACAAAATCAGTATTAAAAGTCGCATATCTCAGAAACTGCAACAGCTAGAGTCCTCAAATTTTGTATGGCAAAATGAACAGCCTAGCTACAGTGAGCGTGGCACCTCCCATATAAACAAATCTTAAATTAGTATATCTGTAAAAGTATAACTAAAATTCATTTACCTGGGAAACTATTGTAGTTAAAATCTTAAAATTTTGCAGCCAGCGAGAAAATAATAAAGTAATTTATCAAACTACTTTTTTTCGCTCAATCTGCAAAGAGAAAATTACTCAAATTTGCATGGAATTGAGTTCTTTCTCTTTTTTGTCCAGAAGGGTGCTGCCAGACCGATTAACTTTGTTTTCTGATTTGCAGACGGATTTTGCAGTACTGCCAAGTTCTGATATATCAAAAGACGCCAATTTAATGCAAATCAAATCTTTTTTATTTACTTATGTTTTAAAAACTTCTGCGGTTTTATTTCAAGTTTTTTGTATTCTTTTTACTATATATTTTCATTTGAAACCACAAAGTATATTTCAAACCAACTTTCACGATTTTATTTAAAATTAATTAGTTTTTTTCAGACATTTTTAAGTTTTTTTTTTTAACATAAAGAGTGTGTGCCAAATGATAGCAAAGTTCTATGGTGGGTTGTAATTTTTCTATGGTGAGAAAATTTTTACATTTTGCTGTGCCAAACGATATCTTTTCTTGCTGTGATAAATGTTGATTATTTTCACTGATTTTTTAACACTTCCAATAAAAATAAACTGTTTATTCGTCCTTTATGAATTTTATAAATAAATTTTTTTAATATGAAATGGATTTTGAAATTTATTTTTTGTTTTGTAAATTCTTCATTTTCATTTGTCAGAAATTTATATAGCCCAATGAGCTAGTAAAATTTTATTCACCTCATATATATCAAAAATTTACTTTTAACAGTATTGCTATAGTTTGGCACACACTCAAATTAATAAATATAATAATTAAACAATTGATAACAATGCTCTTAAGTTTTGATACACCGTTTTTTGAAAAACAAAATCAAATTGAAAGAATAAATATTTCTATTTTGCCTTTTAATTATGGTTGTGGTTTGAATTGCTGGCACTTTTATCCACGTTAAAATTAACTTATGTATATATATAGCGGAATGCTAGAAAGCTTGATGGGTCATATCAAGGGACAATAGTAAATTTATTATATTTAGCACAAAAAAACGAACAGTACAAGCGTAATGTATCTGCATTATGAAATTAGTATCTGCGATGGGTCGGGACAATTACGTTCATACGTGGAACATGAGACCGCAACAAGTTTATGATTCAGGCACTATCGAAACATTGCTAAAACTTGATGCAGCCATAACTATGAAAATTGTTTTGGAAGTTATACCGATATTTTTGGAGCCAACTTTTTGCAAGATTCCTATCTGTACCAACAACTAACATTTGAGGAAAGTAAATATTTAAACAGAATTCCTATGTTATTATTGTTCTAATTTCCTTTTTTTATTCTTCATTTTAGAGGTAGTATTGCAAAATAAAAATATAAAGTTTATGTTTGTTTGTTTGATTTAAAGTTGCCCCCTTAACAGTATGATACCACTAAGGAGGGATTATTTGGCCTTAAAATATTCATAACGCCATCACCAATTACGGCTTTCGACTAAAAGAGGCTCGTCCAAGAACTGCCAATCCGACCTATACCTTCGTATAGGAAGCTGGAACCCCCGAACTCCACTTCTGAGTTTA